GATTGGTTATTTCTCTGAATAACATTAGGGATAATGCTAAATTACATGATTCATCAACCATGAAGGGCTAGGTTGAGCTCCGCCGTGGAACTGCCTCCTTTACTGGTGGGCAAAAAAATAAGACTATCACGGAGAACACCTTAGAACAGTTTTGCAATGTAATACCTATGGGTGCTGTTCTCTCACATCTATGCGCAAACACGATGCACATTCCGTGCACATAGGCAGCATGGGCACTGGGCTCCCAGTGTCGGGGAAAAGCCCTCTCTTGGGCCCCCAGAGAGATCTACAGAGCGCCCTCAATCGCTCACTTATAGACCCAAAACACTCACATCTTCTCAGTCTGGCCCTTCTCCAGGACGGTCAGTATCTGGTCCAGGGACGGGGCGCCAGCCTCCTCCCCCATGCCTTGGAGGAGCAGCTTCTCGGCGCCAAGGTGCCCCTCCCACTCGGCCTGGCGAGGGTGGGTGAGGGTCTCCACACAGGCCGACACCACCTGAAGCAGGCCGAGGTTCCTGCGCAGCGCATCCGGGTTATTCCTGTACCGAATGAGGTCAAAGATTTGATGGATACCTTGAAGAAATGAAGGAAGACACTGACATTTTATTTACTTTTGTGTTCTTGGGCAAGGTATTTTACCTGTACATGCTTTCCCCCACTGTGCACCAGATACTGTACAGTGCCATCAAACACATACAGTGGTGAACTTTAACCACTTCCTGCCGGGGACTCCGGGATCGGAGACGTATGGTTTATATGGGTGGCCGGGGTCTCCGAACTCGGACAAAGGAAACAGGGCCCTGTAACAAAAGACCGTACTCCGAACAAAAGACCAGGCTGCTGGGCATTACCGACATTTTTCACTCTCAAGAGTGGTGATAATCCAGCCTTGTTTTGAAACCATATACCAGGGTTTGGGGCATTGAGAACGAGTGGATTACCACCAGGGACAAAAGCGCTCCACCACCACAGCGATGAGCCACACAGCACTGCTGCATGCTAATCTGGCCCCTATTGAAAAGAGATCAGCAGTGCACTGAGCCAGATTCGTGAACAAAAGACAGTTATACAACAACGCACAATCTGGGCTCTATTTACAAGGCTGCTGGCCTGGCTGAAATACTCGGGCGTCAATGAAGGTCACCTGTCAACTTAGAGTAGTGCCTGAAGATTACTTGGTGCGGNAATTGGTTATTTCTCTGAATAACATCAGGGATAATGCTTTTCTAAATTACATGATTCATCAACCATGAAGGGCTAGGTTGAGCTCCACCGTGGAACTGCCTCCTTTACTGATGGCCAAAAAAATAAGACTATCACGGAGAACACCTTAGAACAGTTCTGCAATGTAATACCTATGGGTGCTGTTCTCTCACATCCATTCACAAACAAGATGCACGTTCCGTGCACATAGGCAGCATGGGCACTGGGCTCCCAGTGTCGGGGAAAAGCCCTCTCTTGGGCCCCCAGAGAGATCTACAGAGCGCCCTCAATCGCTCACTCATAGACCCAAAACACTCACATCTTCTCAGTCTGGCCCTTCTCCAGGACGGTCAGTATCTGGTCCAGGGACGGGGCGCCAGCCTCCTCCCCCATGCCTTGGAGGAGCAGCTTCTCGGCGCCAAGGTGCCCCTCCCACTCGGCCTGGCAAGGGTGGGTGAGGGTCTCCACACAGGCCGACACCACCTGAAGCAGGCCGAGGTTCCTGCGCAGCGCATCCGGGTTATTCCTGTACCGAATGAGGTCAAAGATTTGATGGATACCTTGAAGAAATGAAGGAAGACTCTGACATTTTATTTACTTTTGTGTTCTTGGGCAAGGTATTTTACATGTACATGCTTTCGCCCCACTGTGTACCAGATACCGTACAGTGCCATCAAACACATACAGTGGTGAACTTTAAACCTCAAACCAACACTTGAAATACCGCCATCATAAACACTGCTACATCAGACTCACAATCGTCTGTATTTATCAGAAACAGTACTCACTTGAACAGTTGCAGGTGTGTCTGCAGTGTCTCTGGGCCGACACGCCCTATTTTCCCGCCTATTTTCAACGGCAGTTTTTCCTTGGAGATGGCATCCACCAGCTGTCTGTTGACATCCATTAAGCTCTCCTAAAAATAATAAGTCAAGTTGCTTATGTGCGTTCCCAGCTGTTAGGATGATGTTCTGCAATTTCCTGGTGGCGAAAATTGATTCACCATCCATAACGATTTCAGAATTCTAAAACAAGAAATTTCAACTTGATACTTCACTTGAAAAATAATCGCTGATGACGTTGGGGGTGTAAGTGTACAGAAGAGGATGACCTTAAACTGATGATGGTCAGGCATTCAAAGGACTGACTTAATAGCTTGTAGGAATTTCCATGAAGATTCCCAACGCCCTCTGCAATCAGCCAACCTGTAACTAGGGCCGTGTCCGAAACGGACTTCCAGAGCTACGGCTGGGTCTACTGTCTACAAGTCTCCGCACATTTCCAATAGAGGGAAGACCTAGACCTAGCTCTAGACAACAGATTCGGATGCAGCCCAAATCTATCCTTTGATGATTGACTTTGGAGTCACTTGGTGGCAGCAAACATGTCAATCCTATGTGACCAGTTCAGCATTGTTTGTGTTGTTTTGAGTATGCATACAACTCAAGGATAACGCAAACAAGGACTGCTACGTTTACCAGCACCAAGCATCTCAAAGGTTGCCCAGTGTTAAACCTACTCCATGGTAGAGAGAAGCAGGTTGGCACTGCATAGACCAGTGTGGATTACAGGACACATCACTTAATTGGTACAGTACCATAAATAGGACAAAATTTCTATGGGGACACCCAGGGACACCCAAGGGCACCCATTTTATTTACGTGGGGCAGTGAAAGCAAATGACCCATGGCTTGTACACTGGTCGAGTACATGTTGAAATTTCAAAGGGGGGGGGGACACAGGCTTCAGTGCACACATGCATTTCGTAGTTACGCCACTGACTGGGTACTCGCCTTCTGTTTCGTCGTGATCAGGGTATTGAGCGGGGAGTGAGAGGTTGAATCGGAAGGATGAGCCAAGCACCCGGGATAGATCACCTGTGACGAAACCGGCTGCACTCTGGGTAGGTTTGGGGAAAAGAGCGGTTAGGTTAAAAAATAACAGCCACGTACAACTTTAATATCTGCATTAAAAAAAGTGGACCAAAAATGGTGTGAAGTGGACCGAGGCCTGTAAAAGAATCTTGCAGGAAGTAAATCAACAAGAATCCTCAACTTTTTCACTCACATGTTGTTTATTTTCATCAGGATGCCAGACTGAGTGATACGCTGGAACAATGACCCAGGTCTACTCATGGTTACGCCAAATGAGACAAATTTCTGGGGGAAAAGATGGCCTGAAGACTCATATTGTGAGATTCAGTCACAGTAACTTAGCACAGTCAACATATATGACAATATCACTGGAAAACTGGAGAAGAGTATTCAGGAGAATCCCACTGAAAAACCAGTCCTAACGCACCCTCCCAGTGAGAACAGATCGGCCATATCCACACCGACATCCGTGCTGTGTCCCGGCAAGCGATCCAGATGGCACAGCACTCGATCAGCTAGGGTCTCTCTGCCGAGATGGCTGGCTGCTCCGGCCAGGTCCAGTGTTCGGTCAATCAGAAGGACAGATGCTCTGTGCTGCGCAGCCTGTCGAGTGAAAAGAGAAAAAAGACAGACTTTGACAGACGTGCACGGAAGTGGAAGCTGGTGGTTGTATGGACCCACAGCTCGGTGGAAATGAATACACCGGATAACTTGTGAACATTTTGTGGGAAGGTGTGTGGCAAGTGGGTTGGGGTTTCCAACTCCCGCTTGCAGGGCTGGGGTTCGAATGCTGCCCTCGGGCAAGTCACTTTACCGACAAGTGCCTCTCTCCAACCAGGAGTATAAATGGGTACCTATGATGGCAGAGAGGGTTATTTTAACAAGGTAGTGCCTAACATAGATGCACCAAGGGTTGTTTAGTCCCCAGGAAGTTGAGATGGGTCATGGAACATTTCTAGGCTCACTATCAAGCTGGGACATTAATGTGTAAAGCCCATTGGGGGTCCAAGTGCTGTAACGTATATGTCATGACTTTCATTATTTGGTTGTGGAACCACGGCAGTGACTGGTCAAACCATCACATGGCAGAGTTTGACGGACCAGTCTCTTTGCCAGTGCCGATTGGCTAAAACGATTGACATTGTGATTATGAGGCTCCAAAATTTGATACCTTTCTTCTGGCCTTGGCAGACGGCAGGCCAGCTAGCTCGGCTGCAACCAGCCTGCTGGTGTGGCCGATGGAATACACATCCTCATTGACTTTGATCTGCTCACAGAAACTGCTGATCCCCGAGACTAGCATCTGTTGATAAACAGCAGCTCATGTAAACAGCTGGACAGGTGCTGATTTCATACTTGTGTTGAGGATAGGACTTTTTTCAAGCCTTACAACGCGCACATTCTTCATGATGAATCTCTAATTGTTGTTCCTAACTTCATCCGTGCTATGTGTTTTCCATATCTTTGACATCAAAAGGCATTCTTGGCCCAAAATGCCATAGTTGAATTCCATTCATCCTTTTTACTTTTGCAGCGCCAATATTTTCCAAGATGTCACAAACTTTGCTTTCACATTTCCAAACTTCCGATAACGAACCAGCCCCTGAGGGTCTGCTTGGTGGGTCACTGTACCTTCAGCTGCGCCTGGAGAGCCGTGGGCAGCAGCTGGAGCTCGATGTCATCCAATTTATCCAACGGTTTGTCTCCCTGTTAGACCAGAACCACCACCAACAGAACAAGGTTAGAAAGAATGTCAAACAAACTCCTGGCGGTGAGAGCCTACTTTGCTGGAGGTGTAAGAGATTTTTAGAATCCAGAATGCGCTGTTTGCCGTAGAGCATACCTCTTGAAAAAAAAAATTCACCACATTCCCACCAATTCTAAACCTTCAAGACTGGGTCACGCTTGAGGGACAAAACAGCATGCATAGACAAACATTACAACATGGAACTGAATCTTAGAACCCTTCAATTATGGTGGGC